CAGAGACACATGTGATGGTGTGTGTGTGTGTGTGTATGTGTTTGGTGGCTAGGCTGGTCCAGGCCTAAATAGGTCAGCACAGGGAGCAGATCTGCAGGAAATTCCCAGTCCCAAGCACTGGACTGACAGATTCAGTAACCTATCAGCAAATGCCTGCCTTTGCCCCTAGGGGTCTGGGCACTCTTATTACCTGAGAGGCAGGTGATGGGGTGGGGGGAGAGTGATGGGGGCGGGAGTCCTTTCCCCAGCATGAAGACAAGATGCTAGACCCTATAATCCACCATGTGGCCAATATGGTGCCAGCCAGACCTGACCTTCTGACTTCAGTAGAGCACATGATCCTAAATTCAAACCTCCATACACCATTCCACCATGTGTGAAGTAATACCAGAGAGGCTGAGGCAAGAGGATCATGAGTTCAAGGACAGACTAGACTACATTCAAAAAAATGAATGAGGGGCTGGGAAGGTGGCTCAGTGGTAGAGCGCTTGCCTTGCATGCATGAGGCCCTGGGTTTGATTCCTCAGCACCACATAAGCAAAAAGAAAAAAAAAGCCGGAAGTGGCGCTGTGGCTCAAGTGGTAGAGCGCTAGCCTTGAGCTGAAGAGCTGAGGGACAGCGCCCAGGCCCAGAGTTCAGGCCCCACGACCGGACCCCCAAAAAAAACAAAAAAACCCCACATAGTCCTAGCAGTAGTCCTAGGTATTTGGAAGGAGATCAGGGGATAAGGGTTCAAGACCAGCATGGAAAAAAAAAGTGAGACTCTAGTTAAAAAAATGGCTGGGGGAGGAGATTGTACAAGCTACAGAGATAAGCTTGAGGCCCTTAGTCCCCGGCTCTCACCTTTTTTCCTTTGAACTACTTACTGCAGCAGCCTTCAGAGAGACAGGCCCTCTCACCATTTCATAACCTGATGGTCTCTGCCTGAATCTTCCCTGCCTTCCTACAACATAGGAGGTAATGTAAATACCTCCCCACCCCCATGGTGCCCTCCTGTGAGCTCCAGTTAAAAGCTTTTATAACAACCATTACTCCTTTGTAATGTAGCACTTATCTCAATCTACTACGACTGTGTTTGACTTGCCTTTTCATTATACTGGAAACAAGTCCTTTCAGCTCTCTATCCCGCTACTCCGCACGCTCTGGCTAGCGCTAGCACAGAACCTACCTTAAGATCCCCAAGCCACGATTGCTGTGGACGCAGCTCTCCTCTACCTCCCAGAACACCTGGCTCCTATGACCTCAGGGGCTCTGTGTTTCCCTCTCTTCCAAGAGCCTTTTTGTTTGCCCTATCAAAGACAGCATCTCTCCCTGTGTGCCCCACAGCCACCCCCAAAAAACAGCCCCTCTGTTTTGCTTCTCTGCCTTGTTCTTCCTACCCCAACGCCTTCTTAGCACTTGAGTCAGATAAGGTAGCTGTCCTGCAGCCAGCTCTAGGCCTCCTGTGCAGTTGCTGCCCAGTCCCTGCCTGGTTAGCTTCAGCTAAGATTAGCTTTCCTACAGGATGTCAGGGCCGCTCCAGCTGCCTAGCACAGTGTGGCTTCTAGAAATGTGTGTGCATGTGTGTGTGTGTGTGTGTGTGTGTGTGTGTGTGTGTTGTCTCAGAGAGACTCCACCTTTCTGGGAGACTTAGATGGAAGCTCCACCCAGGAGCAATGGCAGGGCAGGGCCTTTTCTTTTCTTCTCTTTCATTTGAGTGAGGCTCCCTGGTGACAGCTCCTTGCAACCTAGTATTTGGCCTAGTTCATTTGCAGAAGGGCAGAACCTAGCACCTCATAGACGTGGCCCCTGCTTTGACATCCACAGGTGAGGAGACCTCCTTGGGTCTTTGGAGCCAGCGCTAGTCCTGCCTGAGGGCCTAGATTGTCTTGAGGGAACCATCAGGCCATTTCTTTCACCTCAGTGTTGAGTCTGGGTGTTAGTTCAGCCAGAAAGGAAGGGACAAGCTGATGGTCTCATGGCTCAGACAATATGGAAACAGAGTGAGGTCAGCTGAAGCTCCCTATGGACTCCATCAGTGTGATAGTGTCTATGCTGTCACAGACACAGTGTCTGTGCTCTATTACTATCCTTGTGCTTTTCTACCCTGAAGGTTCCTGGGAAAAGGCCAAGCTATCTCTAGCTCTGTGGCACTAAGTGGTTGAGATTGAGGGCTCAGGTGCTCAAGGAGGCAGAGGATCCCCTGAGGCCAGTGTGGTGATGGTGATTGGGATCAGAAGGGACGAGTTAATGGGTAGAAGCCCATTCTGCATTGGCCACACACACACACACACACACAACACACACAACACACACAACACACACAACACACACAACACACACAACACACACAACACACACAACACACACAACACACACAACACACACAACACACACGCCCCCTACAGAATCTGAATGGAACTTCTGTAAGAAGATTGTAGGGGTGGTCCCCAGACGTGCTCACCTCTGGCTTCCCCAGGGACCTCAGATTCAGGGGAATCCTGGGGGAGAGGTCTTATGACTTTCTTGATCTTTCTTTTTTTGGGGGGGGGGGGGCTTGAACTCTGGGCCTGGGCGCTGTCCCTCAGCTCTTCAGCTCAAGGCGAGCGCTCTACCACTTGAGCTACAGCGCCACTTCCGGTTTTCTGGTGGTTTTATTGGAGATAGGAGTCTCACAGTCTCTCCTGCCTGGGCTGGCTTTGAACCGCGATCCTCAGATCTCAGCCTCCTGAGTAGCTGGGATTACAGGCGTGAGCCACCAGCGCCCGGCTCTTGATCTTTCTTAAATGTTTTTTTTTTTAATTTTTTTTGGGGGGGGTCCAGTCGTGGGGCCTGTACTCTGGGCCTGGGCGCTGTCCCTCAGCTCTTCAGCTCAAGGCTAGCGCTCTACCACTTGAGCCACAGCGCCACTTCCGGCTTTTTTCTTTTTGCTTATGTGGTACTGAGGAATCGATCCCAGGGCCTCATGCATGCAAGACAAGCGCTCTACCACTGAGCTACCTTCCCAGCCCCTTAAACGTTTTGTTTTTTTAAATACCTTACAGTAATTATACTGAGGGAGATTTTGTTAAGATTTTCTTTTGCAGTGGCACATTGTCAAACACATGAAAATTCTGCCAACACAAGGGATGTGTTGTGTAAGCACGGATGCTTTCTCCTGAAGAGCTGCAGGGCGGTAATGGTCCCAGCAGGAGCAGTCTGCTGCCCTGAGAAGGCTGGAGTCTTAGCTCTTAAGGACCACAGCAAGGAAGAAACCCGGGGCTATGGCTGCAGCGAGCCAGCCTCCCCCTCTCCCGCCGCCCGCAGCACGGCAGTGATGGCAGGGCTGGCTCTGCCTCCGGAGTGAGAGGAAACCATTGCAGAGATGAGGAGCCTCTGCTCGCAGCAGTCACAAGACCAGAGTCTGCGGTAATTCAGGGGCACTTTGCAAAAAGAGGGAGGCTGGCTTCTTGAGGGGAAGGGTCTACGGTGCGGAGGCGCTGGGTTTGGCGGCAGGGAGGAGGAAGGGTCAGTGCAAGGATGGAAAGCCTTACTCCAGGCGGAGGGCGAGGTGGGCTGGGCACCGGGGTGGGCTGGGCACCGGGGTGGGCTGGGCACCGGGGTGGGCTGGGCACCGGGGTGGGCTGCGCACCGGGGTGGGCTGCGCACCGGGGTGGGCTGCGCACCGGGGTGGGCTGCGCACCGGGGTGGGAAGCCTGTGTTCCGGGAATTGCAGACTGAGCAGCTCTGCGGCGCTCCGCCGCGGGATGCCTCCTCGGCCGAAGCGTGAGAGGGGCGGGGCCTCGGAGGCCTCCCACCGCACCGCTGGGGGTTGTGCGGCGGCGGGGACGCGGTCCCTGCACTGCAGTGTCCTGCCTGGCTCGGCGGCGACCGAGGCTGGCGCGGAGGCGGGACCGCGCCCGAAGACGGGGAGCGGCAGCCCCGCCGCAGCGGCGGGCGTGGCCGAGGCGGGCTGGAGGGGCGGCCTCTCGGAGCAGGGGCGGGATCACCCACCGCACGGCAGGAGCCCGGGCTCCGCGGAGCTCACAGCCACCGCAGCGGGCGTCCCGATCCCGCGCCCCGCAGGTGCCCGAGCGCAGGGACCGCACCACGCACGCCCTCGTCCAGTCTCGACGCCCCGAACTCCGCGCGGAAGCGACGGTGAGGCTGGGGCTGCCCGCAGGGAGGGAGACGAGCCTGGCTCGGCCCGCAGCATCCCGGGTGGAGACGGCGGCGGCGGCGGCGGCGGCCCCCACCTCCAGATCAGCTTTGCCAGGGTGGGGAGAGACGTGAGGGGCCGAGCGCCAACTCCCGGACCCCGACGCCTCTCCCGGTCTGCCCTCCCCACCCCCTCCGCCCCTCTCTTGGCTTCTCTTTCTCCTCCTTCCTACCCCAACCTCTCCAACCGGGTCTGCGTCCCTCTCAGCGACCGGGTCAGATTGGGTAGCAGGGAGAGGCTGCGCTCGGCCCAGACCGCCGCCTCACTCCACCCTCGCGGTCCCGGCTGGGTTGGGGGCGCCTGGAAGCGTGCTGGCCTTCCAAACCTTGGCTCCCCACCCGAGGCACGTCCCGTCGACCCACCCGCGCCACTTCCGACAGCTGGCAGCCGCGGGGAGCCCCGGGGGGCCGGCAGGTACAAGGGTGGCGGGGAGGCCCGGGCGCGGGCGATGGAACAGCTGTGGCCCCCTCCACCCCCGGGGGAGCGGGCGGCGGGGCTGCGGGGCGCCGGGGGCGCCGTTAATCATTAACCCTCCGCCTGCCGGGCCCTCGCGCGGCCCGGAGCTGCGCTCCGCCCCGGCCTCCCGGGTAACGGGCGAGGATGCCCCCCCTCGCAATGCCTGCACCTCCTTTTTTAATCTCCCCCTCGCCACCTGTCGTCCGGGGGAAGCCCCGGGCTCAGCCTGGCGACCTCCGCCGGTCGGCCCGCACTGCCCGTCCGAGTTAGGATCTGGAAAGTGGTTTTCAGGGGTACGGGGTGGGGCGCCCCGATCCGTGCTGCACTTCGGCTCACGAAGCCCCTGGCCCCGCAGGCCCGGCCTCCCGGCACCATGCCCGGCCTCTACTGCCCCTCCAGCTGGACGCCGCTGCCGCTCACCGACTCCTGGGTGCGGGCCTGCGCCAACGGACCCTGCCTCAGCCTGCGGGCCAGGCTCACCTACCGCAACCCGCAGCCGCAGCCCGTGGACGGTGAGGCCCGGCGCGCTGGGGGGGAGGGCACGGCTGGGGCCGGGCGGCCTGCGACGCTGCCTTCTGCCCGCCCCTCCCCGCAGGCGTGTTCGTGTACCCGCTGGCCGAGGCCGAGGTGGTGTCGGGCTTCGAGGCCGAGGCCGCTGGACGGCGCGTCTCCTTCCAGCTGCAGAGCCGGCGCCGCTCGCAGGCCGCCTGCTGTCGCGCCCTGGGCCCCGCGCTGGGGACCTCGACGCCTCGCCGCTGCGCTCAGGGTGAGCCCCGCGCCGCGGACCGCCCCGCAGCTCGGCCCCGCCCCCTCCCGGCCCCGCCCCGCCGCCCTCCGGGCACGGATTTTTTTTTTGCTTTCTTTTCTCTTTCATTCATTGATTCCTCCCAACTGTTGTGGACTGGCAACTGGCCCGAGGTTCCCCGACAGACAGCAGGCAGCTCATAGCTTGTCTGGCACTACCGGGCCCTTCCGCCCAAGCCACCATAGTCTCTGCTGGGTGGGGCAAAAGGGCCACCATACACACACACACACACACACACACACCACACACACACGTGCACCTAAGTCCCCTGCAGCCCCTCATCTTTTAGAATCTGCACTTTTTCAGCTAGACTCCACGTGGACTGGCTAACTTCTGGATCTAGTGTAAACTTGATGCATTATTACCCTAGGTCCTCATTCCCCAGTCACCCCCAAACAACACACACACACACACACACACACAGAGCCTCACTATAGGTCCCTTTACACCTCCCTGCTCTATTTTCCCAGGGTGTAGCTAGTACTTTTTGTGGGTGGGTGATACCGGTATTGGAGCTTGAACTCAGAACTGAGGCTCTGTACTTAAGCTCTTCTTGCTCAAGGCTGGAACTGTACCACTTTAGCCACACACAGCTCCACTTTGGGCTTTTTGGTAGTTAATCCAAGATAAGAGTATCACAGATTTTTCTGTGCCCAGGCTGGCTTCAAACTGTGATCCTCGGGGCTGGGAAGGTGGCTCAGTGGTAGAGTGCTTGCCTTGCATGCCTGAGGCCCTGGATTCGATTCCTCAGCACCACATAAGCAAAAAGATAAAAGCCGGAAGTGGCACTGTGGCTCAAGTGGTAGAGCACTAGCCTTGAGCTGAAGAGCTGAGGGACAGCACCCAGGCCCAGAGTTCAGGCCCCATGACCGGACCCAAAAAAACAAACAAACAGTGATCCTCATATTTCAGCCTCCTGAGTAGCAAGGATTTACAAGCCTGTTTGCTTTTGCCCTTTAAGATCCACTCAAATGACACTCCTTAGGAAATTCTCCTTTATTCCTCCACAAACAATTGATTACACACTTTCCTTGTTTTCCTAGCATTTTTGCCACCAAATTATAGCACTTATTAAGAGGAATAATTGTCATGGGTCTGCATGTCTGTCTCTCCCCCTGAAGCATTGGCTCCTAAGCTTATGACTGGATTTTGTGTCCCTGCATGTCACACAGAACCTGGCCCAGGGTCCTGGGAATATTGCAGCTTGTGCTTTGTGCTTTTATTCATCCATTATTCATTTGACTCTTGCCCAGGGGTCTTAACATCCCTAAGAGGACAGAATCTAGTGGTGTCAAAAATTGAATTAAGCCTAGCAGGTGATTGGTTAGAGGCAAAAATGAATTGTGGGCTCAGGCCTCAATAATGTATTTTATGGAGGGGGAGCCAAAAGTTGAGTTAAAGGAAGGTAAGACTAGATGAAGTAAAAAGTAGAGGTGATGGTATGAGCAAAGGTTTGTAAGTAGGTTATACTGGCTAATGGTAATGCAATACTTCGTGTTTGTGGTGATTTGTTTTTTGCAGAGCTCAGGCACTGGTAGAAGCCACATTTGAATCCAGGAGAGATAAATAATGTGTGTGGTCTATGTTCTTTTTAATAATAACAGCCACTTATATGTTGGGTGTGTTGCAGATCTTATTTATTCTCCTATGTTGAGATAGAGTTAGTATGATTCCCATTTTGTGGAGAAGGAAATGGAGGCTCCTAAGAGGATTGATGGTCTCCACAGACACAATTAGCAATCACAGAACTGAGACAATCTACTGTATCAGGTCTTAGTTGGCTGGGGTGGAAGCCCCTTTTTTGGTTCCTTCTTTCCTTGCCCTTTACCTTACTTCCCCCTTTCATTTATTCAGCAAGTTTCTTGATAGGATAAGCAGATGCTTTTGTCAGGAAATAAGGTAAGATGGGTCTGTAAAGGTGGTCTGGGGCCCCGACTCCTTAGGTAGCAGTGGTGTTGGCTACTGACTCTACCAATCCTTAAATAAACCTACAATGTAAATGAAGTGTGTGTTTGTGCACATATGTAGTTTTATGTCCTCTAGCCTACTTCCAGGAAGATTGCTACCGAGGCCTCTCTGGGGTAGAAACCTTTGGAGCCACCCTAGTGGACACTGGGGAGTCTCTGGCCATTCATGAGCAGGGGATCTGTGAGCTGAATGGATCCCAGGCCAGAGGGAGGTGTCAGCCTGTGAGGGAAGAGTCCTTTAAGATGACGGTGCTCCAAGATTGGAGTGAGGGAAAGAGTCAGGGAGAGAGGGAGAGCATTTGGGTCCCTTCAGAACCTTGGAAATGGATATGCTCCCTTTTCTTCAGTCTTCCCTTAGCCATGATGTCACTGTACCCTTGCCCGAAAACAACCAGAACCTGCCTCTCCCACCATCATCCGCCTCCTACCCCCATCCTGTATCACCAATGCTCTAGCCAATGTCCTGCCAGCCATGCAAAGTCCCACTTGCCCAGGCTTTCTTACTCAGTGCCCGCTCTCACCTCTGTCTTCCCAAGCCCCTCTGTTGCCAGCCCCTCTAACCTCTTTTCTCACTTATCACAGGTCACCTTGTCTTGGATCTGGCCCAGGCCCGGTCCACGCTGGTGCTGCCCACCGGCCTTATCGCTGCAGCTGGCACCATGACAGTGACTCTGTGCAGCAGCCAGGAGCTGCCCTCCAGGCCTGATGGGGTATTGCGTGTGGCTCTGCCCACTGTGCTCACCCCACTGGCCCCCTCAGGCCCTCCAGGGCCCCTCAGGCCTCCGGGGCTCTGTGACGACAGGTTGGGCCTATGGTGATTCTCTTCGTCCCTCCCTCGGCTTCTCTGGGTCTAGTGCGGGTGAGGGGGCTTTGGCAAGATGCCCTGGGGGATGGACAGGGTGAGAAAGGGTGGAGGCCAGTCAGCCAGAGGGGTTAGGGATTTTCATAGTGGCCTGGTGACCCTCCTCATGCTCCCTTCCAGCCCCACCAGCTGCTTCGGGGTAGGCAGCCCTCAGGAGGAAGGGCTGGCCTGGGAGGAGCCAGCTGTCCCTCCGGATGTGTTCTCAGGCCCTGCCCGCTGCCCTGCCCCTTATACCTTCTCCTTTGAGATGCTGGTGACCGGCCCATGCCTGCTGGCAGGTGGGTGCATCTAGCCTGGCCTGACCTACCCCTGGTCTGATTTACCCCTCCCAGTGTAGTAGACTGGGAAAGAATTCAAGTCTCAGGGATGAGAGGAACCGAGGACAAAGGGAAGACAAGGATCTAAGTCTTAGGAACTTCAAATCTAATAGTGAGACTATCCCCTACCCACTTCTACACCTCCCATGTCAGTAGTACATAGTTTATATCTCAAATATTGGCAAGAGAGATACTTATGGTGGGGCCAGTCCTAGTGATGAATTGGATTATCTTTGTGCAAGAGCTTGGGGAGGATGCTGATTGGTTGAACTGTAACCCTTTTGCTACCCGGGAACAGTGCTGGGAACAACCCATCTCAATCCTTGAAAGCAGACAGTTCCTCCCTCGTTCAGCTGACCCAACAGACCAGAATCAGAGCTGAGACGCACCATCCATGGTCCCTTTCTGTAGCCATTGACATGTGGGAAGACAGGCGGTTTATGTTCTTAGTGCTGGTTTGAAGGTCTTAGTTTGAGTGAATGACCATCCCCCTCCCTGTCCTTCAGGCCTGGAGAGCCCCTCTCACGCCCTGCGAGCAGATGCCCCTCCTCATGCCAGCTCTGCAACTACCATCTGTGTCACGCTGGCAGAGAGCCACCGATGTGACCGGACCTTGGAGATCCTGCTGTATCCCAGTGGTGAGAGACTGAGGCATACAAATGGGCCCACTCTAGCTTGCTTACAACAGTTTAATTTCTTATTTATTTATTTGGGTCTGGTAGTGGGGCTGAACTCTGGGCCTGGGCTCTTCAGTTGAAGGCTAGCACTCTACTACTTGAGCCACAGCGCCACTTCCTGCTTTTTTTTTTTTCTGCTTATGTCGTGCTGAGGAATCGAACCCAGGGCCTCAAGCATGCAAGGCAAGCGCTCTACCACTGAGCCATCTTCCCAGCCCCTAGAACAGTTTCCAAGTATAGATTCTGGGTCTCAGGGGAGATGGATGAGAGTGGGTCCTGTAGCACAGGGAGGCTGTAGGATCCTCTGAAGACAGGGGCTAATTCCAAGTATGGTAGAGCACACCTGTAATCCCAGCTACTAGGATGGAAGACATTAGAGGAGCTTGGTTTGAGACAAAAATACAAAATCTAGCTGAGTGCCAGTGGCTTGTGCCTGTAATTCTAGCTACTCAGGAGGCTGATATCTGAGGATCAGGTTAGGAAGGCAGCCTGAGCAGGGAAGTCTTTATAAGAGTCTTATCTTCAATTAACCACTAAAATACTCAACATAGAATGGTGCTTGAAGCAGTAGAGTGCTAGGCTTGAGTGCAAAAGCTACAGAACAGCACCCAGGCCCTGAGTTCAAGCCCTAGTACCAGAACAAAAAAGAAAGAAAGAAAGTACAAAAGCTTATCTGAAAACCAAACTAACATGAAAAGGCTGGAGGCATGGTGTAAGTGCTAGAATCTCTTGAATTGAAACCTCAGTTCCACCAGGAAAAGAAGAGAGACAGAGGGAGTGAATAGTCAGGACCCAGAGGCTGGGATTCCCCTGATAGAGCTGTTTTCCCACTTCTCAGAGCCCCATCAGCCACATTTGATGCTGGAGGCTGGCAGCCTGAGCTCAGCAGAATATGAGGCCCGGGTGAGAGCCCGCCGGGACTTCCAGAGACTGCAGCGGAGGGACAGTGATGGAGACCGGCAGGTTGGCTATGGGCTCTTGACCTGACTGCTGGTGTCAGTGCTGATTGCTACTGTGTATGAGGAGCAGGCAGGCAGGCAGGATCCCAGGATCATGGTGGGACAATGGGGGCCTCTTCTCAATAAGGCTCAGAGGACAGATTAGTATTGGTTTCGGAAAGCCTAAGACCCTCTGGGCTACAACTGAGAATGAAGGTCAGAACAGACTACAGCCAATGCCTTTGTTCAGATCACTGCAAAAACAGCCCCCTCTGATTGATCAGTTAGGAAAAGATCCAGACCATGGGGCCCAGCCTGAATGCAGCTGCACCAAGTCTGACCCTGGTTAACTCAGGGCTCCTGCCCTCAGGTGTGGTTCCTGCAGCGACGCTTCCACAAGGATATCCTATTGAACCCTGTGCTGGTGCTGAGCTTCTGTCCAGACCTGAGCCCCAGACCTGGCCACCTGGCCACAGCTACCCGGGAACTCCTCTTCCTGCTGGATGGCAGCAGCATAGCACACAAGGCCTGTGGGGTTCGGTGTGGGGCAGCCATGGGTATGGGTGGGAGCAGACTGAGGGGGGGCTGTGGCAGTGGCTCCAAGCCAGAAGTCACCTTGCTGCTTAACATGTCAGCTTCTGAAGGAACTATAAGACAACTGCTCAGGTGGTTCCCACTCCCTATACACACACTCTCTCTCTCTCTCCCTCTTTCTCTCTCTCCCTTTCCCTCTCTCTCCCTCTCCCTCCCTCTCTCTCTTACACACACACACACACACACACACACACACACACACACACACACACACACGATCTCAGCCTCCCTTATACTCACACATACTCATGCCTCTCTAGAGTCCAAAAGGCATACTCTGGGAGTGAGGGAAGGGAAGACACTGTACAAAAGGAAATATACTCATTACCTGATTCATGTAATTGTAATCCCTCTGCATATCGTTTTTTATAATAACAATGAAGTAAAAGTCACACTCTGCAAGCTAGTCACAGAGGCTCAGGCTTCCACACACTCGGAGGCTTCCTCATTCTCCCAAGGACAAAAACTTGCCCAGTCTTTCTCACCTGCACTGAGCCTCTCCCAATTTAATCATGGCCTGGGGAAAGCAAGTGCTTTCTACCAGAGTCCATCTTATGTTGCCTTCCCTGGCCTCCTGGCCCTTCTTAGGATGCCCTGGTTTTGGCTGTAAAGTCCCTTCCATCTCAGACACTTGTCAACCTGGCCACGTTTGGGACATCGGTACAGCCACTCTTCCCAGAGAGCCGGCCTTGCAGTGATGTGAGTGTGGGCCAGAGCTTGGGGACCGGGGGCTCTCGGGGAGATGTTTCAGTCCAGCTGGGTACACCTTGAGCCTTCTTCCTCCAGGACACTGTGCAGCTGGTCTGTGAGCACATTGAGACCCTGCAGGCTGTGAGTGATCCTCCAGATGTGCTTGCTGCACTGGACTGGGCTTTGGGGCAACCCCAGCACAGGGCTTACCCTCGGCAGCTGTTCCTGCTCACTGCTGCCTCATCCATGGCAGCTACCACCCAGCAAGCCCTGGAGCTCATGAGGTGGCACAAGGGAGCAGCCAGGTATGGAGTGGGGCAGGGCCAGGTGGCTAAAATTGGCTCTTCTCTCTAAGAGACTCCACAAAGTCAGTTGCTTCTCTTGTCAGGTGTTTCTCCTTTGGGCTGGGGGCCAGCTGCCACCAGCTGCTACAGGGTCTGTCTGCCCTCAGCAGGGGCCAGGCCTTCTTCCTGAGGACTGGGGAGCGGCTGCAGCCCATGGTAAGTTTGAGCCTGAGCCCTGTTCTCTACTAGAAGTTCTTCCATGTTACACATCAAGTCTGAAACAGAGCCCATCAGAGGCCTTGGGAGTCTTTTCATGCCTACCAGGATTTCTCTTTACTTTTCTCCCTGAAGTCCCAACCAGGGGAAGAACTGTTGGTGCTATTTGGGGAGCAGGGGGTGGAGTTGGGGGCTGCAGAAGGCCAAAAATACAGGGAGACAGTCTCTGTCCACCTCCCAAATCTTACTGTTATGTCTTGGAGCCAAGCCACATCTCCATATGGCAAAGGTAAGGCCAGGAGACAGCCCAAACCTGATGACGTAGCCCTCGGTGCCATTATAGTTCCATCCCCACCATTCCTTCTCCTGCCCCCAGCCTGACCCTGATTTCCTTCCATCCAGGGCAGAGCAGAGGGCATCAGGGCAAAGGCAGCCTGCCTGCTCTGTCCATCCTTCTGCTCCTCCTCTGGCCACTCTCCACAGCTGGTGCGGGCTCTGCGGAAGGCACTGGAGCCAGCTTTGAGTGACATCTCTGTGGACTGGTTTGTGCCTGATGCTGTAGAGGCACTGTTGACACCCCGGGAGATCCCAGCACTCTACCCTGGGGACCAGCTGCTCGGTTACTGCTCACTCTTGAGGGTGGACGGCTTCCGGCCCCGCCCTCCAGGGGTATGCCTGGTCTCGGTTGCAGTAGATGGGTCTGGGTGGCTGAAGTCTCTTCTTCCCTTCCCATATCTCTGTTGGGTGCCCTTACTATCCTCTAGGGTCCCACAGAGATCACACTGGGACCCCTACGGTGACTCCCCTCATGGACTCTTCCAGTGAGCGGTATAAGTTTGAGAAATAGTTATTATTTATTCTTTACAAAAGCTATATCATCCTAGGAGAGCTCAACATACTTATACCTTCTTCATTATGAGAGCTATATAATACATAGCATGACTCTTTGCCTGGCTGCAGAAAAATAAGGGCCAAGCCTAAAGCGAACCTCCCCAGCATTTCTGTTAACCCTATGGTTAAATACTTGTTCCTTCCTTCTTAATACTGATCTTTCACTTCTGGTTTATTTGTTTTATTACCTCTTATGTGAGTCATCTTAAAATCCTGCTTGAAGGAGGCAATGTACAGCTACAATCAATTTTTCCCCCACTGCCATTCTCTCTAGGGCCAAGAGCCTGGCTGGCAAAGCTTGGGTGGCTCTGTGTTCCCATCCCCAGAGGAGGCACCATCTGTCACCAGTCCTGGCACTGATCCCACAGGCACCTCAGAGCCACTTGGAACAGGCACTGTGTCTGCAGACCTATCTAGCCCATGGGCTGCTGGGGACTCAGAGCAGAGTGAGTGCCCTGGCATACGTGTGTCGCTTGTTGGGAGAGGGCAGTGGAAAGGGTTGGGGATGGGGCCTATTCTCCTGCCTCCCTGCAGATACTGATGCTCTCACGGACCCAGTCACAGACCCTGGACCCAATCCCTCCTCTGACACAGCCATATGGCGGCGCATCTTCCAGTCGTCATACATCCGGGAGCAGTATGTGCTCACCCACTGCTCTGCCAGCCCTGAACCAGGCCCAGGCTCCACAGGCAGCAGCGAGTCCCCAGGTTCCCAAGGCCCTGGCTCTCCAGAGGGTAGTTTTCCTCTGGATCCCCCTTCTCAGCAGGGCTGCCGCAGCCTGGCCTGGGTAGAACCCGCAGGCTCTCGCTCCTGCCCCCTGCCTGCACCCCCACCGGCTCCATTCAAGGTGAGACTCATACTGTATATCCAGCACACATTTATTTACCACCCACTGGGTGGCAGACATTGTGCAATGTTTACCATTAAGTCTAGCCAGAGAGATAAATGGGTAAACTATGACACAATACAGTCAGTGATGAACACAGGGATATAGTATTATAGGGCTCAGAGTTAGAAAGGCTATGTCAGAGTGAGTCAGGAACTTAACAACCATGTCCAGAATAATAACTAGAAGCTAGGAGAGCAAAGAAGACAAACACAGATACAATTAAGCAACAACGTTGTGGTCAGTAGAAGACAGACAAGGGGCATGTAGCTAGTTGTGTATTTATGTGAGATGGCAGAAGCTATGCATTCCTTGACCAGTGACCCCGTATCGCACAAGCAGGCAGGAGCCTTGAGTGCTGAGGTGCTGGGTCGTCGGCACAGAGCAGCCCTGCCTGGCCGAAGTCTCTCATCTCCCCCAGGCCGGGCAAATCCAGCCCCTGGACAACCTCGGCATCCTTCTCTGGGTGCAGTACCAGATGTGCCAGGCTCTGAACCAAGCCAGCAGCTGGGTCAGGGCCTGGATGAGTCAGGTAAGAGTTGGATGGGAAACTAGATTCCTTGACACTATAGGAAGCCAAGGGAAGATAGAGCCCAGAGCACCACCTCTGCCACCTTCTCTCGCCAGGAAACCTGCTCTCCCCAGCCCCCATGGACTGGGACATGTTGATGGAACCACCCTTCTTGTTCACAGCTGCGTCATCTGAACCAGTCCCTTCAGCAGTACCATTGCCTCCCCAGGCTCCGCGGTGCCATGTGGTGATCCGGGGCCTATGTGGGGAACAGCTTATGTGCTGGGATGTGGGTGTTGGGCTGGAGACACTTTGGGGGCCTGGGGATAGCTCACAGTCTCCAGCATGCCCTGCAAGAGAAGCTGCGTGGGACCAAGCATTCCATCGGCTAACAGCAGCCTCTGTGGTCCGGGACAATGAGCAGCTAGCTCTCCGAGGAGGGGGTGAGACCACAGCTGATCGGGGTAAGTAGCTGGTGGGTCCAGCTGGGAATCAGGGCAGAGGATCATTCTCTATTTCAATTTGTTCACAAGGGATTGAGACAGTTTACCACCTTGACAATAAATGTAAAGCATTAGGCAAGGCAATGGGAAAAAGTGAAAATGAAATAGTTCAAGAATGAAGTGGTATTAAAGATGCATTCCATGAAGTTATATACTTCATCAGGCCCATATCTGACAACTTCCAATACATAGGGAAATGTACCTTGCAAAAATTAACAATGGGGCTGGGAAGGTGGCTCAGTGGTAGAGTGCTTGCCTTGCAAGCTTGAGGCCCTGGGTCCGATTCCTCAGCACCACATAAGTAGAAAAAAAAAAAAAAAAGCTGGAAGTGGCGTTGTGGCTCAAGTGGTAGAGCACTAGCCTTGAGCTGAAGAGCTGAGGGACAGTGCTCAGACCCAGAGTTCAGGCCCCATGACTGGACCAAAAAAAAAAAAAATTAACAGTGCTAGCAAGGCACTAGTGGCTCACGCCTGTAATCCCACCTACTAGAGACTGAGATCTGAGGATTGCTGTTTAAAGCCAGCCCAGGCAGGAAGGTCTATGAGACTTATCTCCAATTAACCATCAGAAAAACAGAAGTGAAGCTGTGGCTCAAAGTGGTAGCATGCTAGCCTCATTCAAAGGAGGTCAGAGACAGCACCCAGGCAGAGTTCAGGCCCCGTGACTGACCCAAAACAAACAACAAAAACCCAAAAAGGTTATTAAAATTAGTTGTGCTGGTGTGATGGTTCATGCCTGTCATGCTATCTATAGAAGAGGTGGCAATCAGGAGGATCATGATTCCAGGACAATCCAAGCAAAAAGTGAAGTCCTATTTCAGAAAACAACCTGGGAGGGGGGAAGGTTGGCTCAGTGGTAGAGTGCTTGCCTCACATGCATGAGGCTCTGGGTTTGATTCCTCAGCACCACATAAGCAGAAAAAGCCAGAAGTGGCACTGTGGCTCAAGTGGTAGGGCACTAGCCTTCAGCTGAATAACTGAGGGACAGCACCCAGGCCCAGAGTTCAGGCCCCACGACCCACAAAAAATCAACAACAAAACAAAAACCCAACAACAACCTGGGTACAGTTGTGTAGGTTTGTAATTCAAGCTATGAGGCAGAGGTAGGAGGACTGCATTCCAAGAATGGATCTGGGCAAAAAAAAAAAAAAAAAAGCAAGACTATCTATCTATTTTGCCACAAGTAAAAAATATTGTTTGTATGTATGTATGTATGTATGTGTGTATGTGAGTTCCTCAAGCACTAGAACACTTAACTAGCAAGCAAAAAGTCCTGAACCCAAAAGCCCAATGCCACCAAAAATAAATAAAATTCAATACTTAAGTTCATGGCCAGAGGAATGGCTCAAGTGATAGAGAACCCCCCCTAAGTTCAAACTGTAGTACAGCCAAAGAGAAAAGAAAAAAATTATCAGTTCAAAAAAAAAAGAGATCAGTTCCCAAGTAGCACTAGTCATGTTACATAGTGGCTACCATATTGGATCATGCAGATATAGAACATTTCCATACCTGCGGAGTTCTACTGGACAGTGCTGAAATGAGTAGAGGAAAAGGTGGTATATTCCTGTACTTGGGAGGGGAACACAGGAGGATCAAGAGGAGATCAAGGCATCGCTCAAGTTTGTATAGCAGTTTGATGTCCAACACTGGGAGTGAGAGAAACCTCTGGGTGGTGTCTAGATTATTGAGTTTCTGAGTGGTCTGGGTTTTCTAGCTCTGCTATGAGGTTTTTGGTCCAATCTGACCTTCTTAACAAAGTTGAATTTGAGCTAATCCTGAGCCTGAGAAGGTATTTTACTCAGTTCACAGGTGAACAGGATTTGGGCATCAGTGGTTCACACCTATAATCCTGGATACGTAGGAAGCTAGGATCAGATGATCATGGTTCAAAGCCAGTTGGGGCAGAGAAGTCTGTGGAACTCCATTTCCAGTTAACCAGTAAAACACTGGAGGCATGGATCAAGTGGTAGAACACCAGTAACCATGAGTTTGAGACCCTTAGGTCCAAGCCTGGAAAAGAAGCAGCACGCACAAAGTGGGTGGGCACAAGCTGCAGGGGAGAAGGGATGCTGCTGTTTTCCTATGCAGCCCTCTGTAAAGAATGAGGATTCAGCATGCTGGTTGGATTCACAGGCCATGCCCGGAGATCCTGGCTCCGAGCCCTACAGACAAGCAAGGTCAGCTCTGCCCCTTCCTGCTTCACCTGTCCTGTTGCAGTGGATGCTGCCACGAGGGAGGTCCTGCCTGGGATCCTGCAGGTGCAGAGCTCAGGTAGGGCTCATCTCTGCTGACTTCTCTCCAGTGTGGCTCTCTTTACTTCCTTCTGGACAAATCTGACCCCTTTCCTCTGGCAGAGCCACCTGAGCCCCCAGGCAACTCTACCTCTCAGGGCCATCCAGATGCAGCACCTCTACCCACAGCCATCTGCTCTGAAGGTACTGCTCAAATGTGGGAGAATGGGAGGGCACAGCTGGCTGAGATCAACTGTGGGTACTGACCAGCTCTCTGTAAGACTTCATGGAGGCTCTCTCCACTAGGTGCAGGAGAATTGGACCAAAATGACACCTCCAAACCAGCTTCGGGAGAGCCCACAATTCCCACCCAGGGGCCTCGCCACCTGCCTCTCCAGCCTCCTTCTAGACTCAGTCTGGGTCACCGTGGCAGACTCAGTGGTCCCCACCAAGGCCAGGCCAGTGAGGGCAACCGAGAAGGCAGTGACCATGACTACCTACCCTTGGTGAGGACTCGGGAGGTGGAGGGTGGCGTTGCCAGGGCCAGGGTGCCAACTCAGCTCGCTTCTCCCCCCCACCTCCTCTCTCCTCAGGTGCGGCTGCAGGAGGCACCAGGCTCCTTCCGCCTGGATGCCCCCTTTTGTGCAGCCGTGTGCATCCCCCGGGAGCGCCTGTGCCGCGCCTCACCCTTTGCTGCCCACCGAGCCAGCCTCAGTCCCACCTCGGCCTCATCTCCCTGGGCACTCCTGGGCCCTGGTGTGGGCCAGGGTGACAGTGCCACAGCCTCCTGCAGCCCATCCCCTAGCTCAGGCTCTGAAGGCCCAGCCCAGGTGGATAGTGGGCGGGGCTCGGACACTGCCTCTGAGGGGGCAGAGAGGCCTGGTGACTCAGATCTGAGGGGCCGCACTTGGGCCACAGCTGTGGCTCTTGCGTGGCTGGAACACCGCTGTGCTGCTGCTTTTGGCGAGTGGGAACTGACAGCAGCTAAGGCTGACAGTTGGCTGCGGGCCCAACACCTGCCAGATGGGCTTGACCTGGCAGCCCTTAAAGCGGCTGCTCGAGGGCTCTTCCTCCTGCTCCGTCACTGGGACCAGAACCTCCAGCTACACCTGTTGTGCTACAGCCCTTCCAATGTATGAGGCTGCCTGCTGCTGGGCCCCGCCCCCCACATTCATGTCACTGCCACCCAGAGCTGGCTTCTCGGTGCTGGGAAGGGATAGGCTGGTGTCAGCCCATCCCCCATCGCTTTTCATCTCCTCCCCAGAATCTTCTCACCTCCACAAAAAGTGCCTGCCTAAGCTCTCTTCCTTTTCTTTCTACTCCATGGCTCTTCCCATGTTTGCTGAGTTCTCGGCAGCATAGTGAAAGGGAAAGAGAGCCATGGTCCACAAATCCTATGCAATAAAGTGCCTATTAGGACTCCCTGACTCATCTGCCAGGTATATGCTCCTCACAGCCTGCTCCAGGCACCAGCTCACTACCTTCCACATAGGCTGCCCAGAGGACTTGGCAAGATTTATTGGGAAGAGCACAGAGTCCATCACACCCAGGTCCTCCTGGCCTTGAGGAGAAGGGTTGGACTTCAGTGGGCTTTCTTGCTGGGCTGGATGCTCTTGGGGAAAGACTGCGGGCCCAGCCAGAGCTGTAGCAGGATGACAGCATGGCATATGTGCAGGGCAGCAGAGCTGCAAGGTGTGGATGGGTACGTGTTCCAGGAAAGCTCGATGAGTCCCAGCAAGAGCAACCTGAAGATGAGAAAGAGGCTCCAGGTTTCATTCAAGTTCAAGGCTTGCAACCCTTTGGCTTTTCAAGGCCTAAACATACCCCTAATTCCACCTCCCCACCTTGCCACAACCTTGGGATGAGGAGCTCCTCCCTCCATTCCCACAGGTTTTCCCAGCCAGTACCTGAGCAGATGTGTGAGCCAGCGTGCAGGCGTGGCCCATAGGAGGTAGGGCAGAGTATGGAAATACCACACGTAGAACTGGTAGTGAAGGGAACGACTAAAGCAGATGCCAATGAAGTTGGAGGTGAAGAGGGTAGAAACAATCTGTACATGATAGTTAAGGTCAAGGGTAGAAGTTGAGGTTGGGGATTCCAAAATAGAATGGAAAAATTTTGGGGGTCAGAGAGTATCCTGGCTCTGTCTGCTTTTTCTACATATGTGCCTCAAGTAAGTTTACCTCTCTGAACCTGTTCAGCCATCTAAGAAGGAGACAATACCGAGGACCATGGGCTTAATGAGTTTAATCCCTTACTAGAAGTGAAGTTGGCAAATTACCTTTTTTTTTTTTTTTTTTTTTTTTTTGGGTCCGGTCGTGGGGCCTGAACTCTGGGCCTGGGCGCTGTCCCTCAGCTCTTCAGCTCAAGGCCAGCACTCTACCACTAGAGCCACAGCGCCACTTCCGGCTTTTTTCTTTTTGCTTATGTGGTGCTGAGGAATCGAACCCAGGGCCTCAGGCATGCAAGGCAAGCGCTCTAACCACTGAGCCACCTTCCCAGCCCGTTGGCAAATTACTTAATCTCTTAAAGCCTTAGTGTGCCCTCAACAAAATTAAAGAGTACTTCCCTACCTTACTGTCTTTTTGTAAGCTTTAAATGTTAGAATGTATGAAAAGCTTAGGATAGTACCAGGCAGATAATACAGACAGTCCCAGTATTCATAATGTTAGCTCAATACCTAGAATTAAGAATAAGATGTACTTCAAGCTGGTGCCAGTGGCTCATACCTGTAATCCTAGCTACTCAGGAGGCTGAGATCTGAAGATTGCAGTTTGAAGCCAACTGGGACAGAAAAGTCCCTGTGAGACTTTTTTTGGGGGGTCCAGTCGTGGGGCCTGAACTCTAGGCCTGGGCACTGTCCCTCAGCTCTTCAGCTCAAGGCTAGCGCTCTACCACTTGAGTCACAGCGCCACTTCCAGCTTTTTTCTTTTTGCTTATGTGGTGCTGAGGAATTGAACCCAGGGCCTCAGGCATGTAAGGCAAGCGCTCTACCACTGAGCCAACTTCCTAGCCCCAAAAATCCAGTTCTTCATTTCTTTTGTTTTGTGGGCTTTTATTTTTATTTTTTTTCTTTTTGCTGAGACTCTTATCTCCAATGAACTACTCAAAAATGGGAAGTGGCGCTGTGGCTGAAAGTGGTAGAATGCTAGCTTTGAGTGTAAAGAAGCTCAGGGACAGTACCCAGGCCTTGAGTTTAAGCCCTACAATGGACAAAAACAAACAAAAAAAATTACTTCAACATGTAAGGTGCTTGGTGCAGTATCTGTTGAAGAATGGAGCTCTATAAACACACTCCCCTTCTCTCTCCCAGGCCATCAATTGCCCAGGGTCAATGGCACTGAGACTCCATCTGCACCAGGGGAGTTCAAGACTTACCTTCCAATAATTTAAAGGATATGATTGGGTGTGAGGGACTGGGGTGGGACCTTCCTTTTGGAGGGATCCTTCAGCAGCGACAGGATACTTTCCCCTGTCCTGGGGAGAAGCCATTCAAACATTCATCAAGCCCCCATTGTGAGGCCAACTGAAGACTCAGCCCTGTGAGCTTAACATCTCCCCCGAGTATCCCTTAAGGATCTTTCACTCCTTCCCCCAGATCTACCCATGGTATCGCACCAATCTCACCTGTGCCATCTGCACAGGGCAAACAGCAAGAGCAGGGCAAGGTGGGCAGCCAGGAGGGCGAGGTGGAAGCCGCGATGGAGGAAGAAAGCCTCAGGCAGGAAGCGCCAGTTCACTGTCCAGCGGAAGAGAAACTGGCGGCCAAGGTCGAAGGAGCGGGACAGGTAGCCAATGGGGTTCTCCAGTAGGAAGGGCAGTCCCAGCACCACCTGGGGATGAGTGTGACATTGGCAGAGCTGTCAAGGTTTGCCCCAGACTCCATACTAATCACTGAGGGAGCAGGAGTAGGGCCAAGGCCCCAGAGGTTCCCTAATTTCCACCAGGAACAGCAGAAAAGTCATCCCCACAGCTACCCACAGGTCTCAGCAGGCACCTAAGAAACAGAAGAAGCACCTAATAATGCTTTAAGGTCTACACAGGAGAGCTAGGAAGCCTTCCAGAGGTCAGCTGGCTTAATAACCTTATTTTAGAGCTATGGGAACTAAAGTACAGAGACAGACAGTGGCTGTCCAGCTCAGAATCAACTCCAAAACTGCTTCTTCACTTTGAAGTCTCATGGGATGGAAGGCCTGACAAGATGTAGTCTTCATCATAAGGGAAGGTGAGGGAGGGGTACCTGAAGTGCAGCACAGATGCTCAGCTTGGGGAGAGCACCACGGAAGCCAAACTGAGTGAGAAGAAGGAACAGCAACCCAGGGGCAAAGAGCAGCACATTCATCTTCACAGAGACTGCCAGGCTGGAGTGGACAAGGGAGAGGAAAGATGAAGATCAGCCCCAGGGCTGTGTACCCCTATGGAAAGATATACCCACTGTCTCCACAGTAACTCCTCCAGGTTGGGACCCACATTCAGAATTACTAGAGAAGGTCAAGTAGCTTAGAAAAAAGCTAGAGAACACTGGGCTCTAGTGGCTCATGCCTATAATACTAGCTACTTAGGAGGCTGAGATATGGGGGTCACAGCCTCTCATCTCCAATCAACCACCAGAAAACTGGAAGTGGCACTGTGGCTCAAAGTGGTACAGTGCTAGTCTTGAGCAAAAAACCCAGAGACAGCACCCAGGCCCCAAGTTCAAGCCCCATAACTGATAAAAAAAAAAACAAAAACAAAAACAAAAAAGCCCACAGAAACCTGGAGTGGGCACAAACTATGTCTAGACTGAATGAACACATACTGAGCGACATGTTTAGAACGTGCAAGGATCAACTTAAAGTTAACAATGGAAATTGTGGGAGAGGTTGGGACAGGATACGAGTGTGTGGAGAAGTGGGGGTCAGGAGCCAATGGGACAGGGACTTCCTAACAGATCTTAGACTTGCCTGGTGAGGCCCTGAGTGACCAAAGTTATCTGGTTATTCCCTCTGCTGCAGAAAACTGGGGAAGAGATGGAAATGCTGAAAGTAAGAGAGGAGGCCAGAAGGAAGGGGTGTTGACCTGAAACAGCAGCAGCCCCAGCTCCAGCGCCGGACCAGGAAAAGGTTGATACTGAGGAAGAGCAGTGCCATAGCCACTGGGTCATTGAAGAGTCGTAGCACAAAAATGGAGTGGACGCGGTACGAAGCACAACACATGAAGAAAAAGACAAAGGGAGGTACCTGAGGAGAGGCCACAAAGGGCACCGTGAGAAATAAGGTCAGTTACCTAAATTTGAGCCATCCTCACCACCCATCCTCTCAGGTTGGGGTCCTCTGGTCTTGGCAGCATGGACTCACCTTACAGGTCTGGTGGTAGATTAAGAAAACAAGCAGCAAGGTAGCCAGGTAAAGCAGAGCAAAGATGTTCTGGGCCATTCGGATGTCAGTGCCCTGGCCAGTGGCATAGTATAGCCCCATAAAGATGTATACAAAGCCAGCTGGGTAGCTGGAAAGAGAGAGAATATGAGCCTCCATCAGGACAACCAGCCTAGTACCCAGCTAGCTCCACATCCTTCCTGAACCTCCTATCCCCACTCACACAAGTGGTCCAGTGTCACCCTGCAGCTGTGTATAGTCATATGTGCCGTTGATGACACCTTCCACCTGGGTCATGTAGGTCTTCCAGTCGATCTCTGTATCTGAAAGAGGACAAGATAGTCTGGTTAGTTCTTAGCACAGAACATGTCTGCCCCTGACCCCATGCTTCTGAGCACAGAGTTCTGGCTCATTCTCAAAGCTTCTTCCATCACCACCCCTGATCTGCCTATATAACATTCTCTGGGCGAATTCAGGTGCCTAGAACTCAATGCTGTATAAATCAATGCACGGATTTTCCTTCTCATTTCAAATCTGCTCTCCTTCTTGGATTCCATGAATAGCACCAGAGACGTGAATAACATCTTTAATACACCTATCTTCTGTCCTGTCTATTCACTCTATATATCCCTGGTAGCTCATACTTCTATACTATTCCCAATTTTGGGTCTAATAGAAATCTCCAGCCTCAACAATGTAATAGCCTAATAGAAATCTCTAGCCTCAACAATATAATAGCCTTCTTCTTAAGTCTCTCAGAGTCTACTTTCACCTCAATACAACCTATCTTCTATGCTGCAACAGGAAGCTTTCTTAACTACAAATCATTATCACATCTCTGATTAAAACACCTTGATTATCCCTTAAGGCTCTGGAGACAAAGATCAATCTCTATTATTACTATTTTAGAACAAGGAGCCTAAAGATCAGTGAGCTAGAAAGGATGGAGTTGGGGGTCCATGTTTTTATCCATAATACTGTCTTTTTTTTTTTTTTTTGCCAGTCCCTGAGTTCATGAACCTGATCAGGGCCTAGGCACTGTTCCTATGCTTTTTTAGCTCAAGACTTGGGCCTTACTTGAGCTACAGCTCCACTTCTGACTTTATGTGTATGTGAATTGGGGCTTGAACTCAGGCCTGGGTACTGTCCCTTAGCTTTGTCACTCAAGGTTTGAGTAAAAAGCTGTGACTTGAGTCACAGCTCCATTGTTTGTTTTTTTTGGGGTGTGTGTTGGTTCTAGGACTTGAACTCAGGGCCTGGGCGCTGTCTGAGCCTTTTTTTCTTCTCTTTTTTGGTACTAGGAATCAAACTCAGGACAATGCATTTGCTAGGTAAAGCACTATGCTACATGAGCTACATCCCAGCGTGTCTGAGCTTTTTTTGCTCAAGGTTAGCATTCTACTACTTGGGCCACAGTGCCACTTCTGCCTTTTTGGTGGGTGGAGGAGGAGTAGTTAATTGGATAAGAGTTTCTTGGGGTTTCCTGCCTGGGCTGGCTTTGAACTGTGATCTTCAGATCTCAGCTTCTTGAGTAGTTAGGGTTATAGGCATGAGCAACCAGTGCCTGGCTTCCACTCAGCTTTTTGATTGTTAACTGGAGAAAAGTCTCAGGGACTTCCCTGTCTGTGCTACCTTCAAACTGTGATCCCCAGATCTCAGCCTCTTGAGTAACTAGGGCTACTGAGCCATGAGGCCCAGCAGGAAGGCTTTTTTTTTTTTGGGGGGGGGTCCAGTCGTGGGGCCTGAACTCTGGGCCTGGGCGCTGTCCCTCAGCTCTTCAGCTCAAGGCTAGCGCTCTACCACTTGAGCCACAGCGCCACTTCCTGCTTTTTTCTTTATGTGGTGCTGAGGAATCGAACCCAGGGCCTCAGGCATGCAAGGCAAGCACTCTGCCACTGAGCCACCTTCCCAGCCCATTGGCTGGAGGTTTTTCATAAAGGCTTCTTTCTCCTGAAAGTGTTCTCTCTCTCCCTTTTCCTTGTATCCTAACCTATCTAGTTCCCATTAACTACTGAATGAAATTCCCTGAATACCTATGTTGATACTTGTTTTTTTTCCTTTTTCTTTTAGACTGGGTCTTGATATGTAACTCAGGCTGGCCTTAAACTTGAAATCATTCTGTTTTAGCCTCCAGAGTGGTGGAGTTACAATTGTACAGTACCAGAGGGGCTAGATCTGGTCCATTTATGTCCTTTATAGCATCCCAACTTCCAAACTGCCTCCTATCTTTGTTCAGATCCAGCGTCCCTCTGCTACTCAACATAATGTTAGACAAGTAAATAACACTCAATAAATACATGTTGCATAAATCCTCTTCCACAAGAAACCTGAGAGACAAGCCCAATGTTTAAATTCAGCCCCAAGAGGGAGCAACCCAATAACATCTAATGGCCAGAAAATGCTGTAGTCTGCGGGATGCCGGTGGCTACTCAAGAGGCTATAATCTAAGGATCACAGTTCGAAGACAGCCCAGGCAGGAAAGTCCATGAGATTCATCTCCAATTAACCACCTGAAAACTGGAAGTGGCTTTAAGTGGTAAGAGTGCTAGACTTGAGTGAAAAAGCACAGGGACAGAACCAGGGCTTGAGTTCAAGCCCCACAACCGACCCTCTCCTTCCCCACTCCCCCAAGAAGGTACAGTTCAGGAAAGATTTTCAAGACCTAATAATTAAACAGATAAAAGCAGATCTAGAAGAGGAAGTGACGTGTCCAAAGACACAGAGACAAATAGCAGCAGCTGTGTTCACTCTGGAACAGAACTGATTTCCAGTTTTGGTTTCTTAGCTGGCCGGATTTCTGATCCCGGGAGCCGGATTAAGGTCGCATTTTCTGGCGAGCAGACTTGGGGCTCGGGTGAGCACCATGAGTCTGCTGCTGATGAATGAGTGGCTCTGGAGTCGAGCTTCCAGTTCTGGGTCTAGAACACAGGTCGGACTTAAGGGCTCGGCTCTCCCGCCCTCCCCACTTGTCCCATCCGGCGCACTCACATGCCACCCTTTGAATGACCCAGAAGGTGATGCCCACCTCTGCCAGGCAGAGGCAGGAGGCCACCAGCAGCGTGTAGCGCGGTTCCTGCAGCAGCAGGCGCCGTTCTTGCCAGGCGCGGTGCAGCCATTGTCTGCAGATCCCCGCCGGCTGGGCCGCGGAACCCGCCCGGCCGCGTTTCCGCAGCCCAGCCGCCATCTTGGCTGTGCGCCGCTGTCGTGGGCCTACCTCTCCGGAAACCCAACCCACGGACACTTAGGTTCCGCTCCCGCTCGTGGCGTCGCACTCCTAGTAAACTCGAGTCGCCAGAATCCAGCGTACTCCCTTCAAGACGGATTTGTTCTGCCAGAATCCAGCGTACTCCCTTGAAGACGGATTTGTTCTGCATCTGTCTCCTCCGGCGGATGAGCAGAGACGAAGTTTTACTTTTCAGTTTATCCCTATCCCTGGGCAGAGACGGCCAAGTTTTTCCAGAAAAGTCCTACTCCTCTCCCCCCCCCCCCCCCCGTCCTACTCTCCCAGCCCAGCCTCAACCACGCTGGAGGCCAACGCCCCCCACCCGCACCCCTCTCCGGCTTGGAAGAAGCGAACCCTTTAGTTTTCAGGCATTTGACACACTGATTAAAATTAAGTAGGGATATGAGGGGATGTGGTTATGAGCCCGGGTGAGTCTGGTTGACACCAGGAGTGTGGGTTTGGGGGCGTGATGGGACAGCACTGCCGGAGAATCCCAGATCAGGACGACGTGGCTTTCCTGGCCGGAGGATTCTCAAAAGAACGCCGAGCAGCAGACGGAAGTTCCACGTGTTTGTGTTGAGCAACTGCGGGTGGTGGGCGGAGACGCGGGGCCCCGCCTCCCGCCGTCGCGATTGGCCCCTCAGGCTGGCACCGGTGGCGAGAGCCGGGCGGCCGGGCGGCTGGGAGCATGGCCGCCCTTCGGGCCCCCACGCCCCAGCCGGAGTTGCCCGAGCGGAACTTCGAGTACTGCGAACTCCAATACTGGGACCAGCGATACCGGTGCGCGGCCGATTCTGCCCCCTACGAATGGTTCGGGGACTTCTCTTCCTTCCGCGCCCTTCTAGAACCGGAGCTGCGGCCGGAGGACCGTATCCTCGTGCTAGGTGGGTACCTCCGGGCGTTGTACCGCCCGAGGGGATTGGGCTGGACGGGCCCTGACTCCTTGCTCCCCTAAAAGGGTGCCCCCCGTCGGAAGCCAAGATTCAGTACCTTCAGAATCTTGCAGCATTTAGCTTGGAATAGCGTGGGGATGACCCAGGATCTAGTCCGGCCCGCGCGCCCAGCGCTCAGAGGACCCACCGGGACACACCAGGAATCCGTAGGGAACTTAAGTTTCATTTCCAGAAATGGTAGGAGCAAGTTCTAGTGGGAGAAGGCACGCACAGGCACCTTGACTATTGTGCCTCGTGTGTGTGTGTTTTGTTTTTGTTTTTTTGCTTGTGGGCATTCGGAGCCATTGTCACCTAGAGGGGATTATTACCCGGAGCCCTAAACTTAGTCTTGTGCCGCAAGTGAAGTGACGGTAAGAACAGCGCCCCCTGAGGTCGAATGGGGTTGGTGTGGTTTCCTTAAGGGAGAAGTTATGCGGGGTGGATGGTGGAGTTCTGACAGGTCCGGCTGCTCCACTAGGTGCTCTCTCCCACTGTCAGCCTTGGAGGTTCTTCGTGAAGTTTGAGCGATGAACTTCTTTTCAGTATAGCTTTTGTGTGATGATGTGATGTTTGTGTGTGTTGGCGAATGTTTGCATTTGCGTGCACACGGCCAGATCTGGTGATTGAACTCTGGGCCCGGGCACTGTCCCTGAGCTTTTTATGCTCAAGGCTAGCACTGTACCACCGTGAGCCACAATGCCACTTCTGTTTTTCTGGTGGTTAATTGGAGATAAGAATCTCACAGACTTTCCTGCCCAGACTGGGTTTTGAACAATGATCCTCAGATCTCAGCCTCCTGGGTAGCTAGAATTATAGGTTTGAGCCACCAGTGCCTGGCCTTTATATGTAAGTGAAATATTTGATACATTTAAAAGGAGCATCTCATATACATATGGTGTGTATGTACCGTATAAATAATAAACCTAATGTGTGTCTGCTGTACCCAATTTAAGAGAAGTAGAACCTTACTAGGACTAGGAGGGAAATATAGTGGTTAAGAACATGGACTTTAAAAGCAGCTAATTATGTTTAAATCTTGGCTGAGTTGTAATCTTGGCTATTTAATCTTGCACAATATACTTAAAATTTCTGTGCCTTTTCACAGCTTTTTTTTTTGCCAGTTGTGGGGGCTGAACTGTGGGCCTGGGCGCTGACCCTCAGCTCTTCAGCTCAAGGTTAGCGCCCTACCACTTGAGCCACAGTACTACTTCTGGCTTTTTTCTTCTTATGTGGTGCTGAGGACTCGAACCCAGGGCTTCATGCATGCAAGGCAAGCGTTCTACCACTGAGCCACCTTCCCAGCTTTTTTAAAAAAAATTAGGGGCTGGGAAGGTGGCTCAGTGGTAGTGCGCTTGCCTTGTATGCATAAGGCCCTGGGTTCGATTCCTTAGCACCACATAAGCAGAAAAAGCCAGAAGTGGCGCTGTGGCTCAAGTGGTAGGGCACTAGCCTTGAGCTGAAGAGCTGAGAGACAGCGCCCAGGCCCAGAGTTCAGGCCCCATAACTGACAAAAAAAAAAATTAGTACTGGCTAGGTGCTGGTGGCTCATGCCTATAATCCTTTTCAGGTGACTGAGAGGTAAGGATCACCATTCAAACTAGCCTGGGCAGGAAAGTCCATGAGACTCTTATCTCCAGTTAAACACCAGAAAGCTGGAAGTGGAACTGTGGCTCAAATGGTAAAGCACTAGCTTTGAGCAAAAGGCCTTGTGTTCAATCCCTATTACTGGCACCAAAAAAAAAAAAGAAAAAGAGTGCTATTTCTTTCCCTTTTATTTGTTTTGTTTTTGGTAGTGGGGATTTTAACCCAAGGTCTTGTGCCTTTCAAGTACTCTACCACCTGAGTCATGTCCCTCTAGTCTTTTTTTTTCTTTCATATAGCCTTTTTATTTGAAACAGTATTGTATGCAGGCAAAATGGAGATTCATCTTCACATTTCTTCATTTGGAATATTTTTTTTTTTTTTGGTCGGTCTTCAGGCTTGAACTTTGGGCCTGAGCGCTGTCTCTCAGCTCTTCAGCTCAAGGCTATTTTTTTTTTTTTTTTTAATGCCAGTCCTAGGGCTTGAACTTGAAGCCTGGGTGCTGTCCTTAAGTTTCTTTCACTCAAGGCTAGCACTCTATTCTTTGAGCCACAGCAGCACATCTTTTTCTGAGTACTGGAGAGTACAGTCTCAGGAACTTTTATACTCAGGTTTCAGCCTCCTGAATAGCTAGGATTACAGGCATGAGCCACCAGTGCCCAGCCCCCTAGTCTTTTTTTTTTTTTTTGGTGGTGGTTTTGGGGCTTGAACTCAGGGCTTGGGCTCTGTCTCTCTGTGCCCTACCACTTGATCCTTCATGCCACTTCCAGCCTTTTCTGTTTATGTGGTGCTGAGGAATCAAAGCCAGGGCTTAATGCATGCTAGGCAAGCACTCTACCACTAAGCCACATTCCCAGCTACCCCCACCCAACCCCAGTCTTTTTTGTTGTTGTTGTTGTTGTCAGTCGTGGGGCTTGAATTCGGGGCCTGGGTGCTGTCCCTCAGCTCTTAAACTCAAGGCTAGCGCTCTACCACTTGAGCCACAGCACCACTTCAGGTTTTCTTTTCTTTCTTTTTTTTTTTTTTTGGCCAGTCATGGTGCCTGAACTCTGGGCCTGGGCGCTGTCCCTCAGCTCTTCAGCTCAAGGCTAGCGCTCTACCACTTGAGCCACAGTTCCACTTCTAGCCTTTTCTGCTTATGTGGTGCTAAAGAAAAGAACCCAGGGCCTCATGCATGTGAGGCAAGCGCTCTACCACTGAGCCACCTTCCCAGCCCCTCTCTCCCCCCCCCCCCCCCTTCAGGTTTTCTGATGGTTAATTGGAGATGAGAGTCTCACGGACTTTCCTGCCCAGGCTGGCTTTGAACCGCAATCCTCAGATCTCAGCCTCCTGAGTAGCTAGGATTATAGGCATAAACCACTGGCTCCCGGCATCCCCAGTCTTTTTACCTTTAGTTTTTCCATGGCAGATGTTGGCTCATGGTCCTCCTACCTCCATCTTTCTCTAGCTGTGGGCCATGGCACCTGGCTTTTTTTTTTTTTTTTTTGGGTCCGGTCGTGGGGCCTGAACTCTGGGCCTGGGCGCTGTCCCTCAGCTCTTCAGCTCAAGGCTAGCGCTCTACCACTTGAGCCACAGGGCCACTTCCGGGTTTTTTCTTTTTACTTATGTGGTACTGAGGAATCGAACCCAGGGCCTCAGGCATGCAAGGCAAGTACTCTACCACTGAGCCACCTTCCCAGCCCCGGCTTTTTTTTTTTTTTTTTGCCAGTCCTGGGACCTGAACTCAGGGCCTGGGTACTATCCCTGAGCTGCTTTTGCTCAAGGCTAGCACTCTACCACTTAAGCCATAGTGACACTTCTGGCTTTTTCTGTTTATTTGGTACTGAGGAATTGAACCCAGGGCTTCATGCATGCTAGGCAAGCATTCTAGCACCACTAAGCCACATTGCCAGCTGCACCTGGCTTTTTTGAGATAAGAACTCCGTAACTTTTGACTGAGCTGGCCTTGAACCTCAATCCTCTGGTCTCCACCTTCTGAGTAGCTATGATTTTAGACATGCACCACCATGCCTGGCAAAATGGGTACTTATATATTGGATTTTTAAGGTGCATGAAAGATTTCTAGAACAATACTTAGCAGAATAAAAGACTCATGTATATTAGGGTTTTCTGTGTGCTCTCCCAAGAACCCTTTCAACCTCAAAGGGAAAGGTTCTTGAATTTTGTGATTGTGAACTATTTCATTTATTTATAGGTTTACCATAGAACTGTGTGCATCAAAATCACCTGGTAAGCTTGATCCTACTCAGAGATTCTAATTCTAATTCTAAAGTAGGTTCCAGAAATCTATTTTCAACAAACTCCACAGCTGATTCTCATGCTGGTGGTTGGCAGAATAACACTGCTGTAAAATCTGTTTGACTAGGAGGTACCCGTTTCTGGATAGACGAGATAAAAAGTGTAAAATTCAAAAGTATAAGTTATCCAGGTGCCTGTATTCCTAACCACTCAAGAGACTGAGATCTGAGAATTCCAGTTCGAAATCAGCCTGGGCAGGAAAGTCCATGACACTCTTATCTCCAAATAATCACAAAAAGCTGGAAATGGAACTGTGGCTCAAGTGGTAAAGTTCCAGCTTTGAGTGAAAAAAGCCAAATAAGAGTGCCAGGTCCTGAGTTCAAGCCCTTGTACCTGCACACACAAAAAAGCTTTCCAGATAGCTTTGATCCCCAAGATCAAAGAACAGGACCCATAATTTGGTGAATATCGTATGTTACATTCTATCTCAATAAATAAAAATTGAGAATCTACCAGGTCCCAGGGTATATGCTACATAGTCCCTTTCTTACTTGCTTAATCTTTATGACTAACCCTAAAGATGAATAAATGCAAATAAAGATAAATATAAAGGGAATTATTCTAAGTTTTGGATCTGCAAACTTGTTCTGAATCTAGCCAGAATGTAAATATTTTAGGCTTTACAGTCTGTGTCACAGGTACTCAGTTCTGATATTATACTGGACATCAGTGACAGAAAATACATAAGAGACTAGCTGTGCTTCGTTAAAACTTTTTTTTTTTTTTTTTTTTTCAAAAAAGGGGATGACCTGAACTTGGCAACCCCTGCTGTGGGTGGCTGGGTTCTCCAGAAGTAATTCTTGAGATGAGGATTCAAGTCTTAAGTCGTTCATCAGATAAAAGCTCCCAAGAGAAATTGGAGGCACAGGGAAAGGAAAGAAGCCAAGCAAAATTGTGATCTCAGGTAAAAATTTCCTGAGTACAATTTCAGCCTAAAAAGTCACACTAACTGTTAGAAGCAAACACAGACTAAAACCAAAGGACATACAAAAATTGCTAAGAGAAGCCAGGCACTGGTGGCACATGCCTATAATTCTACCTATTCAGAAGGCCAAGAAGCCAGTCCAGGCAGGAAAGCCCAAGAGACAGCGTTCAGGTGCCAAGTTCAAGCCCCACAACTGACAAAAACAACTATAAACCTCAAAGAGCTCAATAGTAGTACTCAAGCACTAGTGTTCAAGCCCCATAACTGACAAAAGAAAAAAAATTGCTCAAAGGACTACCAAGGGGATCTGGTCTGACCACTGAGAGCATCTAGCATCATCAAGCTTTCTTGCTTTTGGTGAAGTAGCCTCCTGATTTGCATTACAGGGGTGAGCCACCAGTATCTGGTTATAAATTGTTTGTGCGCTCATGCACATGCACCAGTAGTGAGCTTGAATTCAGAGCTTCGAGCTCACTCTCCTGTGGCTTTTCTGCTCAAGGCAGTTTATCATACTTAGGACTGTGTGTCTGGTCATTATAATGTTAATATCTTGGGGGAGGTGGTGTTAATCTTTATTTCCTGTAAAGAAAACAGAGTTTGGGCTGGGAAGGTGGCTCAGTGGTAGAGTGCTTGCCTTGCATGCATGAGGCCCTGGGTTCAATTCCTCAGCACCACATAAGCAAAAAGAAAAAAGCCAGAAGTGGTGCTGTGGCTCAAGTGGTAGAGCGCTAGCCTTGAGGTGAACAGCTGAGGGACAGCACCCAGGCCCAGAGTTCAGGCTCCACGACCGGACCAAAAAAAAAAAAAAAAAAAGAAAACAGTTTTTGTTAGGTGATGTGCTGTTTTCCATAGAAAGCTAATGTGGATTGCTACATTCAGAATTGATATAAATTTTTGCTTGACATTTATTTTTGTATGACCATTTGTGAAGTGTTATCTTTCTTTTGTGGCAGCCATTAAGGAATCCAGTGCCATCTTGGAAAAAGAGTTTTCCTTTTTTTGTTGCGACACCCAAACTCAAACTTGGTATATGACACTCTGCTCATTGGCTGGCACTCTACCAACTGGACCATGCCTCCAACCCTTAATGGCAAGAGTATTTTTTTTGTCGGTCATGTGGCTTGAACTCAGGGCCTGGGCACTGTTCCTGGGCCCTTTTGCTCAAGACTAATGCCCTACCACTTTGAGCCACAGCACCACTTCCAGATTTCTGGTGGTTAATTGGAGGTAGGCGTTTCACGGACTTTTCTGCCTGGGCTGGCTTGGAACTGCGGTCCTCAGATCTCAGCCTCCTGAGTAGCTAGAATTACAGGCGTGAGCCACTGGTGCCTGGTTGCCAAGAATATTTTAATAGTCAGCAAATGCATATAGATAGCTGTCCCAGCTTTTCTGTCATCCTTTTCTGATGCTCTATATTTGATTCTATGCTTTATAGGTATCTTCTCTTCATAATCTGGCATCCAGTTTCCTATGGAGAAGAGAAAGGACTGACCAGAGGATTCAATGTTCTAGTCCTTGTGATGGCTGTTTTTCGGTTCCAAATTAGTGAATTAGCCTTCAGGCTTATATTACAGTCTCTTGATAATGGTTTAGCATTCTCCTAAGCTCTGGTTCCCCATAGGGTATATTCTTAGATCAGTTTTTCAGGTTGATGCCTCTCCAAGGCCCCCACTTTCACTGCGGGCTCCAAATTATTGAGGTAGAAATTAGTAATCACTACCTTGGTGTTTTTTTTTTCTTTTTCTTTTTGCCAGTCCTAGGACTTGAACTCAGGGTCTGGGCACTGCCCCTAAGCTTTTTCTCCTGAGGTTGGTGCTCTACCATTTGTACCACAACTCCCACTTCAGCTTTTAACCATCAATTAATAAAAACTTCATGGACTCGCTTACCAGCGCCTGGCTAGAAATCACTTTTCTCATGGAAGATGCCATTCAACACTAAGGGGAACAAAGGCAGGGCATCTAGGTTTGTCTAGAGTAGGACAGAGCTCTGGTGTCATAAGAGGTCAGGTACTAGGTGATAAAAGCATAGTGGGCCAAAAAACCCAGTGGGATTTCAGCCTGGGACTGAGTTAGGGTCTTATTCAGCTCTTATCTCCTATCTCATGTACTATATCTACCAGTACTTTTTATGGCTGCAGCTGGGGAGCTATGCTTGTTTGCCTAGGGAAGTCAGTATTTTCCTGAGCCTCAGGGCCCAATGGAAACATAGTCCTGCAAGGACTAGCCAGCTGCTGCTGGATGCCCTGTAGGTGCCAAACCCTGCTAGATTAGGGCTATCCCAATGACTGATCCTGTGATCCTCTTAGGGAGGAAAATGAGGATTAAAAGCAGCCTAATTCCAAAAGCTGTCATCCAGCCCTATTCTCAGCCTGAGCCTGGCCATAGAGGGCTTGGAAGAAGACACTGGATCATCTAAAATAGTTATGCCCATTGGGCTATATATTCTCCTAACCTCTCGCCCTCCTTTTATCCTAACTCTGCCCTCTCTGAGACTGTATCCTATGTAATTTAAACCAGAAAGTTGTGATTTTTTTCATTTTAATTTTTGTCTAAGATGCTGCTGGGTTGTCATTCCTTTGAAATACTTGACTGACCCACCTGAGGTCGGGGCCCTCCTCTGTGATCCTATAGCTTGTTCTTATTTATTTTTTGTTGGTCGTGGGGCTTGGACTCTGGGCTTGGGTGCTGTCCCTGAACTCTTCATCTCAAGTCAAGAGGTCTACCATTTGAGCCACAGCACCACTTCCAGTTTTCTGGTGGTTTATCAGAGATGAGTCTCACAGACTTTCCTGCTGCAGTCCTCAGATCTCAGCCTCCTGAGTAGCTAGGATACCTCCTGAGTAGCTAGGATTACAGGCGTGAGCCACTGGCGCCTTGCCTTTGACCCCTTTTTAAGTTCCAAGCTCTTTTCACCTACTTGAAGTTTAATGTCTTGTGTCCTGCGTGTAGGCTGGCTATGGACTGTTATTGTCATTTTTCTGAATGGGAAATTTTGGTTTGGTTTTCTATGTGTGTATGTGTCTGCATGCCAGTACTGGGGCTTGAACTCAGGGCCTGGGTGCTGTCCCTTAGCTCCTTCACTCAAGGCTTGTATTCTACCACTTGAACCACACCTCCACTTTCAGCTTTTTGTTTCCAGATATGAATTACAGATTTTCTTGCCCTAGGCTGGCTTTGAACCACAATCCTCAGTAGCTAGGATTACAAGTGTAAATCATTAATGCTAACAGAAACCATATGCCCTAGTCCATACCACTAGGAATAATGGAGCCCTGACTTGTGACCAGGTCTGTTGAGTCCAGAGTTCATGTTCTTTTCTATATTCTGCTGCCTCTCCCTAATAGTAGAGGGATTAGACAGAGAGAAAAAGGGGGTAAGAGTAGATGTCATGGAGAACCAAAGCTAACCTAACTCTTTTGCTACCCATCTTTTCCCATGCCAGGTTGTGGGAACAGTGCCCTAAGCTATGAGCTGTTCCTTGGAGGCTTCCCCAACGTGACCAGTGTGGATTACTCATCAGTAGTGGTGGCCGCCATGCAGGCTCGCTATGCCCACGTACCCAAGCTGCGCTGGGAGACTATGGATGCACGGGCACTGAGTTTCTCCAATGGCTCTTTTGATGTAGTTCTTGAGAAGGGCACACTGGATGCCCTCCTGGCTGGGGAACGGGATCCATGGACTGTATCTTCTGAGGGTGTCCACACCGTGGACCAGGTGCTAAGTGAGGTGAGGGAGCAAAAAAAAAAAGAGGAGGGTGGACCAAGAGGTGGGGATGGGGGAATGCTGAAGTTCCAGGAGACTGGACAGACTTAGAGGCCAGGCCTAATTTAAAGCTGGTAATGGATTGTAATTTTGAACACAGTTCTTAAAACAGTGAGGCTTAATCTAGGTCAGGATTAGATTGGAGAGTTTGGTTCAAATGGTAGAACATCTTCCCAGCAGGAGTGAGGTGTGAGGTTCTAAGTTCAAACCGCCGTACTACACATTTCCCCTCCCCCTAAAAAAGTTGAGGCTGGGGTGGTCAGGCTCACAAAGGCCAATGTTTGGCTAGTGAGTTGCCACAGGAATGAAGTAGCAGTCAGGTTGCAGTCAGGCAAGGTAATAGGAAAACTGGTCTGTACTTCCATGCAGAATATAGCCCTATCCTTATGGAATAGCCATGGGCAGAGAAGGTAGTTTATTCTTTGTCATAGAAAGTCTTAAGTTATTGGATGTATAGTAGTACTTGAGATTTAATTGGATGGGTGGGTGGTGGTGATGGGAAAATCTGGGGCAGTACTGACCTTTGAGAACTTGGAGATGACTCATTGCTGAAGGGCTTCTCTGTCTGCCTTGCAGGTGAGCCGGGTGCTGGTCCCTGGGGGCCGGTTCATCTCAATGACCTCTGCAGGCCCACACTTCCGGACCAGACACTATGCCCAAGCCCGTTATGGGTGGTCTCTGAGGCATGCAACCTATGGCAGTGGCTTCCACTTTCACCTCTACCTCATGCACAAGGGTGGGGAGCTCAGTGTGGCCCAGCTGGCACAGGGAGCCCAGCTCTTCTCACCCCCTAGCCCTCCCACCTTACCTTGCTGCCTCCAGGACTCGGATTGTGAGGATTTCCTCAGTGCCATTCAGCTGTGAGGCTAGAAGCCTGGTCCCCAGCACTTCCTGCTTGTCTACCATAGACTTCTCAGGGAGCTGGATCTCTTGACTGAGGGCTGGGGATTAGTGCCAAGATGCTGGAATATCTGAGGCCTTGTGCAGAAGTGGTGGGATTAAGCCCCCTGAACCAATTCAGCCTGGGACCAACTAGGCTCCAGATCTCAGGTTTCTGCCTTCCTTCTTGGATTCTTCAGATTTTTACCAGCTTCCCATCTCCCCCTGTACTATACTGAACCACCAGGGGTTCATCCCCTGGGATAAAACTCAACACAGGCCCCTCTGTATACCAGCCAACATGGGATACCCCCACACCCCCACACACCCCAACCTGAACCTATTTTCAGGAAGCTGCAGATAAATCTAGAATTGAATCTCGATTGCTTTATTATCATATCCCAGCTCCATCTCCAACACTGGTGACCTGTCCTGCATAGGCTGGATGCGTACTCAGGAAGCTACAGTGTAATGTTCCCAGATCAGACTGGCTTGTTTGTTTACCTAATAATCCACCAGCAACTTGCACCAGCCGCCCTCCCATTCTGGCCTGGCTCCTGAGCAGACCAAAGCAGTGGCCACACACACAGGGAAGTCTGTGTTTATTCACACACTCCTGATACAGTGAGGATGGAGTAACATTTACAAAGGATACCCCTGGGCCGGGGACATCTCCAGGTCCACAGGTTTCATCCTGAGGTGTAGAGCAGTCCCTATTTGGGTTCCCAGGGGTACAACTAGGGTCCAAGGTAAAATCAGATCTGGGCCCTTAGAAGGTAATACCTTGAGAGGGAGAGGTCTGCCAGAGAGCCTCTGGGAGAGGCCTGGGCTGACTGGCCATGTGGTTGGATACCATGTTGCGGGCTTGTTCCACCCCGGCCTCAACACTCATCTTATCTGCCAGGCGCAGAAGAGCATGATGGATGCTGGGCTGGGGGGGTAGGGAGGGGTCACGAACCATGAACGGAGCCAGTAAACAAAGAATCGGATATAAAAATACAAATGTGTTGAGGAAGTCCCTTAGAAAGAGGCTGGGGTCACGCCAGACAGGGGTGAGGGTGAGAATGGCCCGGAGGGCTGGGCTCGGGTGGGAAGCTCATGCAGATACGCAGCCAAACATCCCTGGCCGCGCGAAGTCCCACACCTGCAGCCGATGGGTCAACAGACCAGACTGGCCGGGGGCGGGACAGGGGAGCCGTGCGGGAGGGGGCGGGCCGGGGGCTGGGGGCCGCGGGTCTCTGTGTCCGTTCCGGTGCGCGGGGTGGGGCTGCGGCCCGAGGTTCTAAAGTGCATGAGCGCGGTGGCGGGCTCCGGGCGGGTCCGCGCCGCCGCTACCGCTGCCGCCAACGCCGCCGCCGTGGTGCTGAAGCGGACAGCTCCGGAGTGCCTGGCAGCGGCGGTGGCGATACCGACCCGGAGGCGGCGCAGCCCTGCAGCCCCCGCCCGCGGGCGCCGGGGCCGGGGCGGGGGGCGCCGGCAGCCGCATCGCCGGCCGGCGCTCCTGGCCGCTGCGGGGCTGGGCCCGGAGCCCGCCGCCCGAGCCGGCGCGTCTACACTCCGGACGGCGGCTTCTCCCCCATCCCCTTCAGCACGTCGTCTATCCGGTCATCCTCGATCACCACTGCGCAGGGAGAAAGCGCGTCAGCCGCGCGGCCTCGGGGGTCTGCAACTCCAGTGGGCCCCGGGTCCCCGCAGCTCCTGCCGGTGACCCCGCGACGCCTCTCGAGACCTCATGCCTCTAAGCCCTCCCCATCCAAACTCCCCTGCGCACCCGACTTGATGCCGAGCCTGGCTCCCACGGACCCTCCCCCCCTTCTGTGGTGGAACGCCCCTCGTCCACGGGCTGTTCTGCCTCCAGTGCGAACCCTCCCGCCGCCAGAACTGTCCTTCGTCCGAGCTGATGGGGGACCTCGCTCTCGGGAGCCCCTCGCCGCCCTCTGCTCCAACGGAACCCTCCCCTCACACTGGCCCAAACGGAAACGCCCAGCCACCCCGACCCTCGTCCCCACCTAAACCTCTCGCCGTCTGGATCCCGCTTCCGATCGTGGCACTTGACAGCATACCCTTCCTTCCCCAAGCAAACAGCCCGGACAACGGCGCCCCCGTCCCCCCAGCTCCCAGTCAGACGCGGCTCTCGACCAGAAGGTTCTTCTTAGTGACCACTGACTCCCTGATCCTAAAGAATCGGCCCAAGCTTCCGTGCTCCCACTTCCAGGCAGCCCCAAACGCCCCGGCCGGCCCCTCCCCCTCGCCCAGGTGCCAGAGGTGGCGAGCATCGAATCCGGGACACTGTGTTCCCGGGAGAGGGAAAACGGAGGCCAACACTGCAGCGGGGACCCCCGCCCCCTCGGCCCTCCCCTCCCCCCAAAAAAGCCCGGGCAGAAAGGAGAGCGGCTGGCTGCACTGGTCTGCGGCAAGAACTGCGGCCACTTGGCGGGGAACGGCAGCCCGGGGACGCCCAGCAGAGGGTTTCTGGGTCAGGTGGCGACTTCGGGCCCCGGCCGCGTACCTCGCTTGGCTCGGCCGATCTGGCCCAGCTTGGGGGGTCGCTTGGCCTGGTTGCCCGCGAAGAAGGAGTTGGTGTCCTGCAGGCGGCAGCTGAAGGAGAGGTCGGAGCCCTCGGGATCTGCGCCGAAGCGGCCCATCTTGTCCTCGCTGTAGGGTAGGATCTCGGACATGGCGGGCGCGGGGTGGGCGCGGGGCGGGCGCGGGACTGCGGCGGGGCGCGGGCGGCGGGCTAGCTGCCGGACCGGCCCTAGCTCAGCAGGGGAGCCGGCGGAAGGATGAAGTCATGCAGCATCCGGGACTGCGGAGCCAAGCGGGGCCTCCTCCCCCGCGCCTCCGCCTCCCGGGCCGCTGGGCAGGCGGCGGCGACGGTGGCGGGGACCGGGCGGGGGCGGGGGTGGCGCGCGGGGGGCGGGGGTGGCGGCGGCGGCGAGAGCGGAATGACGATGAGCGCCCGACTGCGGCAGTGAACGGCGGGCGGGGCGGGGGAGGCGGGGCGGGCACCGGCCAGGGGAAGGAGGCGGGGCCGGGGGCCTGAGCGCGCCCCGCTTATCCCAAGAGGGGAGGGCGATGCCGGGGGGAGGTTCCCACAGAGCGGCTGGGAATGGCCCACACGCGGGGCAGGGGGAACCTTACCCGCCAACCCCGCTGAGAGCCAGCGGGGAGAGGCGAGCCCCGAGGGAGAGCAGGAGCGAACCTAGGAGAAAAGGGGGTGTGGACACCGAGCTAGGAGAGGTGTGAAAGTGGAACGAGGGCGGCAGGGGGTTCCAAAGCGACCGCGAGGGCAGCGATCGGAAGAGCGGGAGGGACACACACTGCTGGGGGCCGGGAGGCCTGGGCACCGGAAAGAGCGCGGAAGGCGCGAACCCGCGGGAGCGCGGGAAGAGCTCGGGCCCTCGCAGTTGGTGCGCTGTCCTCTCCTGGTAGGTCTTAGGGCCTCAGGCAGCTCAGGGTCCATTCATCCCTAGCTGCCCCTCTGTGTTTGTATCCCTCGGTTAGTCTTTGCCTTTTTCTATTTGTCCCCAGGCTCGATCCCTGGCTGTCTAGGCACCACTGCCTCTCCCGTGTCCTGACGCTCCAATTTCCGTCTCTCCTAGTAGGGAATTTAGCCACCCCGTGGTGGTGCCACGAACTAGAGCAGGTACCCCACAAACGCCAGGGCGAAATCCAGACTCAAAGCGCCGGCCCGCCCGCCCGGCGGTCCCTGCGGCCCGGGAGGCGCGGCGCGCGCGCTGGCAGAGCGGCCGCGATGAATGGCAGCGGCGCCGGGGCGCCCCGGCGGCGGGTGACGCGGGGAAGCCCGGAGCGCCTGAGGACGCGGTGTGCGCTAGTTCGCGTGCGGAGGGAGTGGGGGGCAGAGAACGCCCCCAGCCCTCGTTGGGAGGGGACCACGGAAGAGTTCTAGCGCCGCCGAGAGCGGAGCACGCCCCCTTCCCGTACCTCCTGCCACCCCCACCCCTCCCCGCGGGCCGTCAGCCGCAGCGTCACCTGCTCGCCAGCGTGCGAGGGCTCTGGCGCAATCACTGGCCGGGGCGGCGCGGGGGGGGGGGGGCGCTCACATCACCGCCAGTGACGACAGCACTGATAGGGATCAGCATCCAGTACTCAGCCTACACCCCTGGCGAGACGCTTTTACCCTCCGATTCCGATCGAATCACACGGCTAGTGAGATCGATGTTGGGTTTTGTCCTCACCCCCACCCCCACCCCCGCCCCACTGTCTTTCGGGTGTGTTAGTCCAGAGGACTCAGAGGTAGATGCAGGTGGCTGCCTTCAGGAAACCAAATGGGAACACGTGGCATGGGAAGAGATGTCAGCCCCAAGGCCCCAGACCTTGAGGATCCGTTCCTATCCTGTTCTCTGGTCTGTTCTAGTCTCTGGGTGGAAACTGGACCTGGAGACCTAGTCGCAGTGAGAGGGACACTGACACCTGTAAGAAAAGGCAAGCAGAAGCTCAGGCCATTGAGTCCCGGAAACACACACACACACACACACACATACACACACACGTAGTTGTCCAGCAATGAGTTTCAATCCTGACTCTACCACTGAGTGACCTTTAGTTGAAGACCTCATAGTTATCGATTTTAAAAAATAATTCATTTGTACTTGTGTCATTTAAGGAAAACCCCATCAAACCTTACCTAACACCCTTGTATGTTTTCCATGCATTTGTATCATATGCATCCGTCTCTGAGCCCCACAGTCTCATCAAAAAGCATAACTTATTTTTTAAAATAGTTGTTTACTTATTTTTTTTAGTAATACTGAGGTTTGAATTTACCATTTGAGCCATGCCCAAAGCTAGCCACTACTTAGTAAGGCCAGGTAGAGGCATAAACAAACAAGCTCAGGGATTCTTGTTTTTTTGCTCTTTTGAAGCTCTACCAAGTCCTAACGTACGTTTTATAGATGGAATTGCCCTGAGGTAAGGTGGATGCAAGGAAGTAAGGAGTAGCTCATTACCTAAAGTGCTAAAATAAATAAATGAGAGGTCCATGAGAGATTTTGCTAAGGATGAGAGCACTGTATCAGAACAACTCTTTTCTCTCCCTAGAATGAGGGAGAAAGAAATAACAATTTATTGTGGAATTCATATGGCTAGTTTCTTTTTTAATCTAATTTTTTTTGACTGTAGGACTTGAACTCAGGGTTTGGGTGCTGTCTCTGAGTGCTTTTGTTCAAGGCTAGTGCTTTACCACTTTGAGTCACAACCCAACTTCCACTTTTCTGGTGGTTAATTGGAGATAAGTCTCACGGACTTTCTTGCACAGGCTGACTTTGAACTGAGATCCTCAGATCTCAGCCTTCTAAGTAGCTAGAATTACAGGTGTGAGCCACCAGTGCCAGCTTCTTTAGTCTAATTCCTATGCATTCTGTGCATACTGCAATGTGGTTACATTCAATACTGAATGTAAATAAGCTTTATCAATGACATAAAAATGTATATGGGGGGAAGTGATTTTTTTTTTTTTGTCGGTTGCAGGTCTTGAACTCTGGGCCTGGGCACTGTCCATGAGCTTTTCAGCTCAAGGCTAGCGCTCTACCACTTGAGCCACAGCGCCACTTCTGGTTTTCTAGTGGTTTATTGGAGATAAGAGTCTCACAGACTTTCCTGCCCAGGCTGTCTTTGAACCGAGATCCTCAGATCTCAGTCTCCTGAGTAGCTAGGATTACAGGCGTGAGCCACCAGCGACTGGCAGGGCAGTGATTCTTTAAATCTGTGCCTCTTCTTAAAATATATTGTAATACTATTCCATAAGAAGAAATTTATTTTCATAGGCTAAATGAAATGAATTTTGGAGTTGTTCCACAACACGTTGAGTTTCTCAATTCGAAGTCTGTTAAGCTGACGATAATGGTCCATACCTGTAAACCTAGCAGGTGAGAGTTAAGGTGGGAGGAACTCAATTACATGAAGTCAGCCTGGCTACATAGTGAGACCATATCTCA